GCTGTTGACCCACGGTGAGATCTAACACCTGCAGTTCCCCCACCCCTGCTATAGACAGTACTGCTGGACATAATTAGAAATAAGCTGATTTCTCATTGAAAAATATTGATGGTAAATTAGTCATAAAGACCAAATTAAAGGTTTTATTGTATCAGTTTTCTTCTCTAATGAAAGATAAGAACGTATTGTCCATTATGACCACCTGCAGTTATAGCATTTAATGGCTGCATGCCACACAGACATAACGCACTATATTATTCACTGATTCATCTGATGTGGGTTTCATTCTGTCCAATCGTCTCTTTTGTGCTTTCTCCCGTGTTCAGTCGGGTCTGACGCCCATCCACGTAGCAGCCTTCATGGGTCACCTGAACATCGTCCTGCTCCTGTTGCAGAACGGGGCCTCGGCTGACGTCAGCAATATTGTGAGTGATGCAGCAGAAGTGACACAAACTGCAGCCATTTGTTAAGTCAAATGAACACAGGTTGAGGTTTTCAGATTGTGCTGACTCGTCTGAGCCATATGTGTCGTTTGCACAGCGTGGAGAAACGGCCTTACACATGGCAGCCCGGGCAGGTCAGGTGGAGGTTGTCAGATGTCTCCTGAGGAATGGAGCGATGGTAGATGCTCGGGCACGTGTAAGACTCAAAAATCACATTTGCACACGTGATAAAGAGTCCTTAACGTTTTCATTCTGATGGTCACTGAGCTCTTTTTCTACTGCGCGTCCTGTTTAGGAGGAGCAGACGCCCCTTCACATTGCATCCCGCCTGGGGAAAACTGAGATTGTGCAGCTGCTGTTGCAGCACATGGCCCATCCTGATGCTGCCACAACCAACGGCTACACCCCGCTCCACATTTCTGCCAGGGAGGGGCAGGTGGAGACTGCCTCGGTGCTGCTAGAGGCAGGGGCTTCACACTCACTAGCCACTAAGGTGAGTGTGGGAGAAGACTTTGGATCTCCATGGTGTGATTTAGTGCACGGAGCAGTGGAACGAACATCTTTCAGTTCATGTAATGCTCTAATTTCTTATTTTCAACATGGCAGCTGCAAAAAGTGAACACATGAAAACATTCAGGGTTCCTGTCCCGCAGAAATCACTTGAAGTTCACTTTGTTCCTTCTGTAAGCTGTTTGTGTGACGCCTGTCGATGCACAAGATTCACTGTGAATCACTGTAATAAATCTATATAATAATATAATAATATATATATATATAATAATCAATGTAATAAATCAAATGCAGCGTTTTAAAATATCAACTCAGGCTCTCGGAAGTCAACAAAAACAATAAATTAAATAATGTAAACAAATATATCACTGAAAAATCACCAAGAACAAAACAATGAAGCAATCAGACAAACAAATGCAGCATTTTTATTGCACTTAGATTTAGTTTGGCACCAAGCCGTGACACTTTGCCCCCTTGGTTCATAGTTGTCTTTGTCTCCACACCACATATGTTAGCTGACATTAATGTTTCAAACCATTGCATCTAGCCTTTAAAAATCAGCAGGTACATGCACACATCTGCTATCAGTGTGTAGCCTGTAAACATGACCGGCCTACATTTCTGAACGTTGGCTCTTGACCCCATGTAGTCCTCTGCTGAAGGCTGGGATAGAGAGGTTACTATAATACTGCATCTCCTGGTCTGTCTGTGTGATTCTTCTGATCAATGATTGATGAGGCAGTAAAGCTGCTGCGTCCCTCTGAATTGTTCATGAAGTCTGAACACAGCTGAGTGATTTATCACCATGACTGTTTAACAGGCTGTGCAGTCAGGATCTTTACTTTGTACCCAATCCCAGACAGACCAACCTCTTAATCTATTCACATAATGAGAAGAGACAAAGCATTGTGTGAGGCTGCATTTGTCAGGCCTCAGTGCTTTTGCTCTCTCCTAGACTTCTCTCTGGGGAGCGAGGGGTGTGGCTGTCGCTGTTACAGTGTAACACAATTATAGCGCCATCCTTACAAACATCAAATTGTGCATAATTGTCCATATTTTCTCATAATATCAGTATTTTCCACAATGCA